CAAAAAATAAAATGTTAACCGTCCATAACAAAATAAGACATGTCAGCGTCACTTCCCGTCTGACACGGCAGAGCACAGCACGTCTGTTTGGGTTTGCGCTCAGACTAGTAATACAAGTCTGAGGTTTGCGAAAGGCTTCTTTCACTGAACACAAATCAAAGGTGTTATTGTCAAACTGAATTGATATATCCAAGAAACGAATGATTACCGAATTTGTACAAAAATCAAAATACAATTTGTACGACTTTACGTAATTTACCGAATCGCGTGTGAAACAAATGCACACATTTTTGCCTACGACGTAAGAAAAAATGATACTTTGTATGTCGTACTGCATCATTCTAAATAACCGTCTTGCAACGTGACTACTACATTTTTTTATATATTTGAATCTAGATCAAAATAACATAAATACGTAGTTTTATTTTTTATTAAAACTGTAAAAACGTTCGCGCAAATTCAAATACTGAAGTCTACAGACTAAGTCTTTTCGACCAGCTTTGTTGCACACGCGATCATGTAACACAGAACACTATTGTTCTCCTAATTTGCATGCAAACAAAGCTATCAAAGTTAATGAGCTGCTTGCGTTAACGCAAAGCTAACCTGCGTTAACGAGGCATTGGCATGGTCCTAACACGATCTTAACGTGGCGTTAACGTGAGTCAACGCGTTAGGTAAGCAAGTTTTGAGCTGTACTGTAGGTCAAGTCGCTAATTAACCAATCAAAATGCTGGATGGTGCCCACGTGTTCAAATTACCTTAGTTCATTTAAATATGTTAATGACAGGTCACCGACTTCATGGTGAACGAAACCCGGATAAGATTTACCAATAATGTGCGATCTTTTGGCTTTGATTTCCATGGAAAAACGACATGACTTTTTTTTTAAATTAAGAAATGTAGTATTTGAGGAACGTGAATATTAATTAATTTTATAGGAAATTATGATGACTTCATTGTTCTTGTCTATTTCTAATGAGAATTGTTCACACCTAAATTTTAAAACCTAAAGTATTTTTTTTCCACACAAAATTATTGCATTGTTTCAGGACATTGAGTTTGACATGCAAAGAAAAGATCATGCATCATTAGTTTGTGTCCATCCATTCATTTGTTTAATCTTGATTCTCAGTGGTAAGGTTGTAGTAGTTAGGCTATGTTATTTTTACTTACTACCGGTAAGTTTCTGGGGTACCGGCATGTCTGGGATAATCAGAATGCATGGAGTACTGCAAAATTTGTAATTAAAGAATTGTATTTTTCTGTTCCATTTATTTATAGAATACGATTTTGATATTAGTTTACTAGTTCACCATAATCAAAATGTTACTTTTATATAAAACTTGTCTTAAACAATCGTGGACGTCTTCAAAATGACCTTCAGTCAAATGTAGGTGTCCAGTCTGGCAGTGACAAAGTACATATTAAAGTAGCAGCAAAAGAAAAAATAGTCCTGTAAATTCAGAGGAGGGATTTAAATATTCAAGCATATTTTTGACTCCGGTGTGCGAAGCACACAATGGGAGTCTTTGCAGTTAATGCGTGTATGCGTGTCCGTCTGTTCCACTGATATCTCAAGAACCATACATTGATTTTTGATGAAACTTGGTGCATAGATACTCTGGGCCAATGCGCAGATTTGATTAGGTTTCGGTAAAAATCCGTGCATATTAATTACCTAATTTGCATGATAATTAGCTGATTTTTAGCTGTTCCATGACTGTTTCACTGATATCTAAAAACCACTCATTGGATTTTGATAAAACTTGGCACATAGATGCTCTGATCTAATGTACAGATTTGATTAGTTTTGGGTGAAAATCTGTGCAATATTAATTACCTAATTTGCATAATGATTAATCAATTTTTGGCTTTTCCACTGATATCTCAAGTACTACCGTTAAAGTCCTATTATAAACCGCGGTTTATATTACAATGTATCAATTTAAAAATTGGGATCAATAGCTCAAGTTCGGGGTGCGGTTTCTATTACGTACATATTGCAATCACTAAATGGGCGTGGTCATTTTTTCTGTCCACAACACATGC